TTCCAAAAATTCTGCGTAATATCCTTTTTTCCCACCTTCAAGTTGATTCTCGGTTCTCGTATTTATTGTCCACGTTTCCGCTCTACATAATACTGTTCGTCTTAAAAAAAAAATAGGTCTTAAAGAAAATTGATAGTTGCAATAATTATGATCCCACTAGGTTTTATATATGAATCTAATACTGAATGAAATATTATTCGGCTTATCATCCAATTTTTGGAATCATTCATAAACCAATTATTAAAATAAAATACTGGGTGGTATATCTGGGTGATCCCATGCCTTCTGAGAGTATTTTTTTTCAGTTGCTGAAATTAATGGTTGTGATGTTTCACAATTTTAAAACGTATTTGAAAATGTATGGCAATCAAAAAACGTGCCGCTACCAAAAAAAATAGGAATAATTATGAAGATTTCAGGAGAAATTTTTATTTTTAAGATATCGTATGCGGGCTCCTTATGTATAAACGGTTTATTTTGTTGTCATTTTTTTTAATAGTGCTTATTGAAAACATTTATTTATAAATATAGTACTTAAATCCTGCCGATTTTAATATGAAACACCTTGTGTATGTTTATAGATTTACGATGTAGAGTTCTTCATAATTCATCAAAAAAATCAAGTTTGACAAAACAAAATTTTAAAATTTAGTGATAGACTCAATGAATACATTTTGTAAGTTACTACATGATGATAAACAAAAAAAAGTGCGTGACTGGATTAATTAATTAATTTACTTCTAATCTACTATAGTTTAACATATCAAAAGCATATATTTAATTCTTCATAATTTAAGTTTACATAAATATGTATAAGGAATATTGGAATTTGGGCTAGCAGAACCAGATTTATAACAAATACATATTTTATTAAATGTTGAAAATTTGTAATTCAGTTGGAAATAATGAGTTAATAATAAATATTATTTTATCAAAACTAGCAGTCTACACATAATTGATTTTGTTTTAATTTTAATTATATAAGCCTCGGTCTATATACGAAAAATGATAAATTACGAAAAAAAAATGAGCATATGCAGTGCCACTGACAGTTTATTACATTACACTGGGCAACTCAAAAGAAAGTTGTGAACTTGTTGTGTTGTGTTGTGTTGTTGTGTTGTTGTGAACTATTATTTTCTAAATGGATCACTCCATATATTTTGATCTCAAAAGATTAAGATCAATTTGTTGAATTTAGAATTGCTCAATCGGAATCACACTGTCACCCTCCAATATTTTTAAACTGTGCAAAATAACCCTAAAATCTGGGAAATTCCTTCCCGGAAGTTGATAGAACTTCAGCCATTGTCATGTCTATAGAGAGATGAGGGTAATTCGAATATGTGCGTATCGTTTCCAGATAAGAAATGTTTCTTTTACTCCTTTTTCCTTTTCAAACGATTATGCAACGTATTTCTTTTTCTTTTCTGTGTTTTTGGCTCGTTTGTCCCTTTTAAGCATCCAGCAGAAATCTGCCATCATATTAACATCCTACCTTCCTTGGTACTGAGACTACGTTTCTTTGATATCTTGGTGTAATCATTCACCCTGTTCTTTGCTGTAGTCTCCGAGGTCCTCTGGAAAATAGTCAAGATGAGGGCTTAGTAAATGCAATTTTAAAGTCAACCTAACTGTTTGAAGTTTTCCAACAATTTCTCAACTAAATTCTGATAATCTTCACTCTTCTGATTCCCAAGAAATTCTGAGCGACTTTCTTGAAACTAAACCAAGCTGCTCTTTCAGTATCATTCATTTTTGCCATAAATTTTTTGTCCCTGAACACGGTACAGATTTGAGAACCATTGAAAACGCCTCCTTTCAGTTTAGCATCACTTATTTCTGGAAAATTCTCTCCTAAATATCCAAAACAGTCAACATCATTGTCCAAAGGTTTAACGATCTGTTTCATGAGATCAAGTTAGATATGAAGGGGTGGAATATTTCTTTCTTTTTGGCCATACTTTCTGTTCATAATGATTCTTTCTGTCTCTACTATTCTATAAACATAAAAAGCAGATGAAAGATTAAGTCGTACTTCCCTTTAGCTGTATTTTCTGTATTTAAGGATGGTGATGGAGCAGTTTTGGCCCTGGATTCGGATTTAGTGCATGAAAATACATAAAAATATGATCCTATAATCATTTTCAACTACGTACCATGCAAACAATTTACGGTGCAGGCATAGGATTTTAAAACACACAGCATAAGTGTAGGGATCATCGTACATCTCAACTGAAATGGCCCCAAAATCTTATATCAGTGTGATCAGCAAATCAATTTTAATATTTTAAAATATTTGGGGCGTTTAATTTAAAAAATCATATGTTTGCTTCATAACTTTATTGTTGTGTCATCTGTCATGCTCAATAATTTTCAGTATATAGATAGTAATCCATCTTGTATATTTATTTTTTTTATTTAAATCGTTGCAAGATGTAACTGCATTTTTTTGTATTTGAACAGCAGATAGACTGGTGATATTTTAAAAGTATATTTTGTTTACTGGAAAATTATTCTTAATATCTAAAGTATGATTTTCTGTTTTAAACATTTTATTGGAAATTTAACGGAAAGGTGATTTGGGATAGAAAATAGTTAACAGACAACTAATAACATTTTTATTATTATTTTATTTATTTGTGTAATAACAAACTGATATATATTTTTTTATAATTTTTTATCCTCATTGACCAATCTGGAACAAAGTCAGCACATTTAACTTTATTGAACAAACTTACAAATTATGTGTTTTATAGTACATACAAAACTATCAACATCTGGTTACTTGCTTTCCATTCAGCTTCAAACATGCATCACTAATTCTTCTAATTAATTTGTGACTAAAGCTTAAAATTTGTTCGATAATATATTGTTTTGTCATCAAACAATACCACAATACATCCAGTGATTTTTTATTTCTAAATAATCATCGCATTACCCTATAAAACGCTTATAACTGGGTTTTGGTACTGTTAAGGTGTTACTGGAAACAGCCAAAGGCAGGCTCCACTGGCTATGTGATAATAATTAACGGCTTATTCTGCGTGTTTTAGTTTTTTGTGTAATTGCACTCTAACCTCACAGTTTACTTGAACACTACTCAAAGTTATTAATAGACACCAATTTAAAAATTTAAATCGCCACATATATGCAGTTTCATTATTATTTTGTACGATGCGTTTACACTGTTTTAAGTTTCATGTAACAAATTTTTATTTGTATTCATGAATAATACATTAATTTTTTTAAGAGATTTATTGAATTACTAATATTGTTGCCATTTTTCCTTTATTTTTGAATATTTTTTAAATTCTTTTTCCTTCACAACTCCACACTTTATACCTGATGTTTCCTTAATCTGCACACTGAGGTTAAAATTACTGTTACATCAAATTCTGGTGATTCAATATTAAATATAAATAAAAACTTATAATTTTGAAGATGTGTGCAGTTCCTCATGTAATTCAATTTATTAAGAATGAATGAACTGAATATAATTCAAATTCTTTCTTATTAATTTTCATATTCCTTGCCGTTTTCTCAAAAAAAATATTTTTCATTAAATTAAAAAAATAACTTCAATTTGTTTATTTGTTATTTTTGTTTAATATTAATGATTGTATTTAAAGCACAATATCACCTTACTTTAAATACCAGCACAGGTTGTGAAAGCCTTAAACCTTTAATGATTAATGATTCTTTTATTAGACATACTGTATATGATAATATTTATCCTCAGTAGAGAGAGCCTTCATAAATGGTTATAAGCCATGTGACCAGCAATTTTGTTTGGAATAGTAATTTTATTTCCTTCACGTTGAAAATTAAATTTCGGTAACATTAAAGTAATAAGATCAAGATTACATTAAAACGCAACATTCTGTTTCACCGCCTACTGATTGGTGTAATTTTTCAGATTCTATTCAACCAATCAGCGATTGTATTATCTCGAGCATAGACGCAACGGTTTGTCGTTGGTCATTGTAAACAAATCATTAATATTAGCCTTTTTTTCTTGACTGAATATTGTGGAATATCTGACGTGTAGTTACTATTTCTGTCTAGTTTGATCTTAGTTGTAATATGGTAGTTGAAATCTCTTTACTCACTCATACTACACATACTACAACATACGACTTCACTCCCGAAAAAAAACCTATTGGTGACCCTAAGATTTGGGGAGTTTCGGTTGGCAGAACCAACCGTGCAATATTGGTCACCTAAGCTCGGCGGTTCATTGGCTTTTAAACATTTATGAAGGCTCTGTATTAAAATTAAATAGAGGATATAATTATAATTTATGTAATTTCATCTAATAGTAAATTATCAATTAATAATGATATAATTTTTTTTTTGCTAAATTTGAAAGGTGAACGGAAAGCAAATTTAAAGAATTCTGACCAGGTTAAAGACTTTTTCTCTTAGAAAATTATTTCTAGTTCACCTCACGTGTTAATTCTTTTACAAATTGTTATATTTTTATTCAAACCACATCAAATTTAAATTTTACTTTACTACTACTTTTACTAGTAGGTACATAGTTGAAGTTTCAAGACAGATTTTTTTTTATATTTAATATTGTTTAATATTATCAATAATTTCATTATAAGAGATTATTTTTTAATACATCATGATAAAATAATGTAATCTGGCAACATATTCTGAAAAAAAAAAAATTATATACTCCAATGAAAATGTGACATGATTTACAATTTAAAAAATATTTTTGTTATCAAGAAAATGTAAAACTAACAATAATTACATTATATAAAATTGTATTTGAAAGTATGGGATTAACAAGTTAGCTTACAATTATTTTTTTGTGTTTCTGTATAAAGAAAAATGCTTTAATCTGTCTAACGATAGTATCTTCTGTTTTTGGTGTCTATTTCATTGACTTTGAATAGTGGAAAATTTTTTCTGCATGACTGCATGTTTAGCATCGCACAATCTTATAGTTAAACAACAGTAACCTGCCATTGGCTCTTTCTGTTCAGGTGGTCGTTGCGTGATAGTTCAAATGAAACCGGCCGTTGCCAAGGTAGTGAATCCGCTTGGTACTGTAGTTAATGTTCATTCTGATGATGACACAGATGTGGAGATTTGCGAAGATATAATTATCCACGAAAATTGTGACGAGGCCTTGTTTCGTCCGATGGTAGTGCCAAAAGTTCTTCCACATCATGAGAGAACTAAAAGATACGGCGATCAAATTATTACCAAAAGCCTCGAATCAACAACAGAAGTTGCTGTTAAAATACTTAAAAAAAATTCAAAGTCACAAAAAAGTCAATCACCGGAATTATTGTCACTTGAAAAACGTAAATTTAAAGAAAAAGCAAAGGTTGAAAATAGTAGAGATGTTGAACAGAAAAGCACAATTAAACCTTCAAAATCTAAAGCAAAATCCGAGTCTAAGGTAAAAATTGATATTTCAGATCCATTTATCGATATGCCCGATTTTAAACCTGTGACAGAATCAAAAAGTTTAAAGGAAGCCGCCAAAATTCCGATTCCAGAACCACTGAAGGAAATTGATACTACTCTAAGTAGTAGTAATAAGGATTTTCATTTTGAATTGCAGTCGTTGGATAACGAAGATTTCTTTTCGCTAGAAAATGTTTCAAGAGCGGACGAATTTGAGAATGTTGGAGAATCTAGTGAAAATTTAACAACTGCTTCAAGTAAAGTAAAAAGTAAATCAAATAAATCAAAATCGAACAAAGAAAAGTTCCAGTGTTTTGATGATTCGTCAACAAATACTTCTGAGGATACTGCAGCAGAGGAAAAATCTGTTCCCAAGAAAGCAAGAAAACCAAAGGCCAAGTTGGGAGTAAAAATTGCAAGCATAAGTAAAGACAACATTAAAACTGAAAAAACTGCAGACGATTGTTCAGCGGAAATAACACTCCCAGCTCCTACTAAGAAATCTTGGAGTAGTGTAGCTGCCTCAAAACCTGTTGTGGAGCAAATATTTATCGATTCTGTAGAGAAAGATCTGAGTTTAGATCTTCCAAAAATAGAGTTTGTTGAGGAATTTACTTTACAACTTCCTAAAAAGTCTAGCACTCCAAGTGTTGTGGCAGATCTTATAGACATTAATACACCTCAGGAAGAAAAAGCTAAGAGGGAGGAAAGCGGTGACGATATAGAAGAAATAATTTGTGGAAATTTAGATCTACTGAAAATAGAGAAGTCTTCTGACGATGAAAAAGGCGATACTAGCAGTTCACCTGCAGAAATTACCGAAAGCGATGATTCTGGAAAAAATCCAAACATTGAAACGGTTTTTGAAGATTTACTAAACTCTACCACAGTGGTTCCTACTTCCAAATCTTCTCGAAGAAAGAAGCGGAAGAAATAATTTTGCAGTATTAGGTTAGTAAACATATTATCTTCTTATATGTTCAGTTTGATTGTAAAAATTGTGTATATTTAAAATGTTGAACTCATTAGATTAGTTCTGTATGGAAATATTTGCATTTTCCACAGTGTATTGTAAAAAAAGCATCTTGGGGTTACCCTCATATATTTTGGGATATAGAATACAGTAATTACTGGCTTGAGGGAAGATATGTGGAAAAATTAAAAATAATTTATATTTTTTAAAAAAGAGTATCGAACAAATTCAATGTTTGTAAACTTCGTAGCTCCATACATTCATTTCATCAATTCATTCATTAAATCACTGTTGAGCAATATAAAATATACAGTGTTACTTAAAAATTAAGATAGGTGCTTGAGAAGTTACTTTTATATTTAGAATATTTTGATTTAATAATAATTTTTCATAAGGCAAGTTAATTAATTACTTAAAAGAGGAAACCACACTAAGATGCTCAGATTTCAGGCGTCTCTCATGAACTTTTTTGAGTGGGACAAATTGATTAGAATTTGATGAAGGTTTGACATTGTTTTATCAATATTTTGATTTACATTTATAAATTTTTTCAAGTCACTTGTGTTGAAAATGCCGAAGTTATGGGCTGTTGTCCACCGAAGGTCGTCATCCGAGTTGGTTGTGCATGGAAAATGTGGAGGTCGTAATTTTGATCTGAAAGCAAAATGATTGTTTTCCTGCATTATTAACATGTTTTCTAAGAATATAAACCTCATTACGGGTAAAAATTGTAAAAATTGAAATTTTTAGATGTGTTTGAAAAAAAATGTATTGATTTTCACCTTTTTTTTTTCACGTGTATTTTGAATAAAAACACCCTTAAAATTATATCCCAATTGTTGGTTCATGTTTGTAATTTCATAAAGAAACAAACTTTCAATTTTCATAACTTTTTGAGTTAGAATTCCCGTGAATCAAAAACAATTTCGTTTTGAGAAAAACATTGAAGATTTCCAAAAATTAGAAAGAACCCCGCACAAAATCAATGGAAAATGGGTCCCAGTCGATTTTGCTGAAATTGCAGTATGTTATAGTTTTTAACTTTCTGATCAAAAGTTCATGGTTTCAGAGATAAAGAGGGGGGAAGTATATGATTTTGACTGTAGGCCCGAGTAAGCTTCACGAAGTTTCAAGTCGATGGATTCAAAAACTGAGGCATGAAATGAATTTTGACCAGTAGGTACAATGTTTTTGGGATCGCTTAACCTGAATTCGGGGATAGCTTAGCTACCTAAGGACACCTGGAGGTCAGGTGAAGGTCGTTTCAAGGTCAAACTGAAGAAAAGACTTGTAGAATTTTACAGATTATAGTAAGATAATTAACCATATTGCAGATATATTCTTCTGGATTGAAATGTTGGTTCCTGTACAAAACTCTACAAGACCTGCAGTGACCTTGCAATGATCTTGATTAATGGTCAAGAACAAGTAAACAACAATATTCAATTTTCAGATAAATCAACTGGGACCCACTTTTCATTTGTTTCATGCGGAACTTGAATTGAGATTAATTAAAATGAACTTGACTTGATTACCAGGTGACCTTGTAGGGCTAAGCTATCCCCGAATTCAGTCCCCCCCCCTCCAAAAAAAAAGACACACACTGGTTGAAATTTAATACAAGCCTTTAGTTTGATCTTGAAATGACCTTGAATTGACTTGAAGGTGACCTTTAGGGTTGCTCTATCTCCAGATTCAGATTCTGCGAGCCCAAAAATCTATACACTCACTGGTCAAAATTCAATACAAGCCTTTTCTTGAAACAACCTTTACCTGACCTCCAGGTGACCTTAGATAGCTAAGCTATCCCCGAATTCAGGTTCAGCGATCCCAAAAGCATTGTACCTACTGGTCAAAACTCGCTTCATGCCTCAGTTTTTGAATCCATCAACAATAAGTGACTAGATTACCTGAACAAACGCTCCGCCCTACCTGCTGCACCCGAGCGCTGACCTGATGGGCGTTTGGTTTTAGGCTCATAAAATCGGAATGAATAGGAATTTCGTTTTGAAATTTTGGCAGCGTATTCTTGAATAGTTATACTAACAATTTGTGCATTAAAAAAATGTAGCAGTAATAAAATGTTGTGTTTGTGAAACGATTATGTTGGGCTGGAGATAGTACCGTTAAAGAAAACTAAAAATCAGTTTTTGGTCTGTATAATTTTTCCGGTGGATCATAGCAAAGCATTGTTTATACAGGGTGTGGCAAAAGTAACTGACACATTTCAAAGCTAAATAAAATCCGAAGTATATAAATTTTTTTTTATTTTCATCTGAAAGTACATAAAATGGCATTTCAGATACAGTTATTAATTCGTTTTAAAAATAATGTCAGTTAAGTGGCTGCTGTTGTTGCGTGCACACTGATGAAGGCGTTCGCGAAAATTGTTTATCACTTGGCTGGTCATTTCCTATGGAATGACAGCCACTTTCTGTCAGATTGCTTGATTTAATTGGTCTATAGTGCAAGGGCGATGAACCTTGATTTGAGGGTGTCCCTTAAGGAAAAAAATCACATGGGTTTAAGTCGGGTGACGGGCAGGCTAACTGTTGTCACCCCGCAACGAAATCATTTCATATAGAAGTGATTTCATCAGAAGTTTTAACAATCCGAAGTCATTCAAGTTGTTTTTTTATTCAGTGGCGATCCACTACTTTGAAAGTTCTTGGCACATAGCAAATTTGTCAAAATCCAAATCTATAGCACACTCATAAAGTTCATTGAGTAACAGTCACAGATTCGTTGTTTATAATAAATGTTTGTACAGTAGAACCTCGCTAATCCAACTTCGGGTGGTCTGACTCCCCGCATAGTCCGACCATCCCATTTCTGGTGTTTGTTTACCTACTTTACTTACATGGGCCACCACTAGAGCCAGGTCATGACAAGACTGATCAATAGGCAGTTGACTGTTGATTGATTCGGTACATAGTTCGATAAGTTTTAGTACGAAATAACTTGTTTCATTGTACATCAATAAGTGCTTGTATTGTGCACGTATTTATAAGTAGTATTCCTCGGATAATCCCACCTTTTTTGCCTTCTGACCATGCTCTCGGTCCACCGGAGACAGATTAACGAGGTTTTACTGTTTATAGTAAAAGTAAATGAGAACTATATGCGTATGGTTTTTCTGTAATTTTTTTTAATATAGAATCATTTAATCCACCATCATCATGACCATGACATGAGACTATAAAAAAATTTCTTGATGAAAATCGTAATAGGCTAGATATATTGTACAGGGTTATTCACGCTATACGGCACGGACTATTGTGGCCAAAATATGAGGTTTTCAAAAAGTTTCTCTTTTGGGATGTATGGGGGGTCTATTATGGTTCCTTTTTAAAATTATTTTCATATTATACAGAGTGTCCCAAATGTCCTAAAAGTATCAAAGTTGTGTTTTTTTAAATGGAATCCCCTATATATTATTGCATTTTTGGATTCTCCGATCAAAATAAGTGTCTGTTTTAATAAGGTTTATAATATCTAAACTTTAAGGTTTTTTATTAAATTAAATTTTATCAAAATGTAACGTAATTTTCTTGTTTCAAATACTTAAGAAGTATATCAGATATGTAAGCGAAATTTACATTGAAGTGTAATAATAGATCATATTTTATATACCAATCATAATAAACTTGCCATGTTATACAGGGTGTCCAAAAATTAAAATTAATCAAATAAAAATTTTATGTAGCTATAACTTGATTAATTTAAATAGGACGCCATATTTTTTAGCTTACCAGAAAATGTAATTTTTAATTATCTATCGAATGGTATTAGAGTGTTCATAGCTAAGTCTTCGCGTTTTTACAGATTACGCTAAATAATCCTTCTTTGCATCATTTCGTATATTTTATATAAAAGTTCTAAATAACTTGCCAACGATAACATAAAACAGAAGCAAAATAACAGATGTCCGGACAACATTTGCGGGGGTTACAGTTTCAAAATCGTCTCTTATGCGTATTTTCATATCTTGCGGATTTGTCAGTGGTACATTGTAGACAATTTTCTTTATGCATCCCCATAAAAAGAAATTTCGTGGAGATATATCCGGGGATCTCGGAGGCCAATTTTGAAATCCATTCTTCCAATCCACCTGTATGGAAAGTTGACAATCAAAAAATGCCCAACCTCGCGATGATAATGAGGCACAGCTCCATCCAATTGAAGCCACATGGTTGTTCTAACATTTAAAGGGACTTGTAATAATACTGGAAGTTAGTGTAAAAGAAAATTAAGAAACTTCATACAATTTAAAGTTCCTTCAAAAAAATATTGTTCATATGGGTCCAGTATTCCACTTCAAACATTAACGGACCACCTATTCTGATTTCTTTGATTCTGTATTGATGCGGATTCGAATCTGAATAGTAGTGAAAGTTGTGTCTATTCACGAGACCAGTTTTATGAAAAGTGAATTCATCACTAAATAACACTTTATCAAACACCCACATCTAAAATTCAGTTCGGTTGTCAAAATCATTGTTTCAATCACTATTACCATAATGCGTATAAAATATAAAATGATTTTTATACGGTTCAATATTATTTATCTTTGTGCCGCTCGCTACGCACATCGATAGAATCTATACTCGTCTCTAGACTAAGATACACTGAACGTCGATCTATATTCTATCTCTGTCTTTTGCACTTGGTAGGGAATAGGGAAATGCTTTTTTAGTGGGTGTAAACGGACTTGATTTATCCCTCTTGAGAAACGTCATAGCATAAGCGTAGACGAGGGGTCTAATTCCATGGGAATAATAAATTTATAAATTAAAAAAACACAACTGGGACGTTTTAAAATGCTGTAATAATTAAAATGGATCAAAGTGCCAGTTATAGTAAACTGTAAAAAATATTATATGTTATGTTTTATTATCTTTTTTCAATATTTTCTATATCTTGTTGCCTTTTACACAGACATGCCAATGGATTTTCGTTCCCGGCACGCTTCATCCCC